CGGGCATAAATTGGTTGGGCCAATGGTAGACCTGCTGAGGATACAATGGAGCGCGACTAGAATGACCTGCAAAGAAAACTCTTCTGCCAACACGGTTGGTCTAGATTTCTAGACTAACGTCCCGCTGGTGCCAAGCCTGTCTGTCATCAGATCTACGGCTGAGCAGGTCAGCTCTCGAGTCTGAGGGGGTCACAGCTGGCTCGTCAGGTCCATCTGCATCTCTAAGGCATGAGGACACGACTTAGAGGACATGTCCACATTTCAAAAGGGACAGATTTCTTTAGCAGTGCATATTGTTCTCCTACAGCTTGAGCCTCGTGCTGACTTATGATCACAACTGAGAGGTTGTCCAGCTGATAACCTGAGCTTAGGGCTCTGCACTGATACATTCATCCAATCCTCTACAGACGCTTGTTCTTCCAGATTATTCTAGATTTCTGTCCCAGATGTAACGATCCGGTTCCGGATTCAGTCTCTTTAAAGAACAAAACAGATAAATAAATCAGTGAGTAAGTGTTGCAAGCCATCCTCTCCATCAACCCACGGCAAACGGCTGAAAAACGTACTTTGTGGCAGCTAGCCGCCGTTTTAGTAGACGGGTGCCTTTCCACTGTCTGCGAAGCGTCACGTTTTGGACGCGCTCATAAAGTTCCTGCGCTTCCAGAAGATTACGTCAAACTTGGCAGTTCAGATTGGGCCAGACAGGAAGTCAAAAACAACCAGAACCTTTCTAAATAAAAGTCACGTGCAGCTTTCTTCACCAGTGAAAAACACATTTTGTTTCCTGTGAAACGTCTGTAGCCGAGGTAAACCGAACAGAAAAGAAAGCTCAGACTCTTTGTGGATGCACGTTCCTAGCTTATCATGTGAACGTTTGAAATCACGTGTGGGGTTGGAACTCTCCCGTGATTTTGTGACATTGCAGGAGAAGCTGCATGGAATGTTTTCGCTCCCAGTTGGAAGGAAGTTGGCGGGTAAAACGCCTCTTAGACACCGCTCACGCGTCTGGTGGACAGGAGGGGTCAGAGAAACGCCTCGGTGATGATAACTATGAAAAAAGTTCTTCAAAAAAACTGACACTGTTTGGATAAACAATCAGAAGGACCTTTGTCGTTGATGCTCTCAGCTCTGGACTTGGTTTATCATGTCTTGTGAGTGAAGTCTGGCATCAGCCCTCGTCCAATCTCGCACACACTGACCTGCCGTACACGCAGCCTACAGCAGCATCCAGGAAACAGCAAGGTTTCATGCACGTCAGCATCACGTCTTTGCTGCAGTAGATATGTTTCATCCCGACACGTCACAGGCACTTCATCAGTAGCGTAGCTGTACAACATCTGCAGGACAATCGGACTGTCTCACATCTGCAGCAACACAATCGTACATTTCGACTAGAGCATGCAGATATGCAGGTACAGTCCTGGCAGACGTTTCAGTCGACAGTTACTGCTAAAAATATAATATATCAGATAGATTTTGTACAAGTCAACATGCATAAAATACATTTTCCTGTGCAGTAAATAGAAGTCATGCCAGTAGGGCAGCAGTGCTGATGAGACCGCTCCAACAAAACATCTGACTTATGAATCTCTACAACCTCCAATCATTCCAAGTTTTCCTGTTCATCATTTTGCATCCATGGAAACGAAACATTAACCTTTACATCGCAACCACGAGGAGATCCCACTCAACCCACAGACTTCCTCTAACTCAAAGTTTCTCATGTCAACAATCCCAGAGTTGCTCTGGTAACTGGACACAAACCTTTCAGGGGTCTTCTCACCCATTGGCTGTGGCATTTCTGTCTCTCTTGGACTTTCTGCTGCTGTGTTTGGGATCACAGGGTTGGGTGACCCAGTGTGGTCCAGACTGCAGCTGTCAGGCTGAGAGACCCTAGCCCTAATCATCAGCCCCCCACCACCTTGCCGACAGCTGGTGTGAGGTGTTTGTGCAGATATCCACGTTTGCATCGTGGGTGAACTTACACACATTGGTCTCATCTCTTTAAAGCACATAGTCTCAGAAGTCTCTTTCAGACGCACCGTTATAGGTTCAGAAGTGTTTGTTTTAGAGAGATCATTTCACCTTTCACCCTACCGACCCCCTACTTTTCCTCGTCTCGCCTCTGTCAGTGCGCCCAGGGCAGCTGCGGCTACACTGTAGCTCACCATCACCAGGGTGAGAATGCGTGTGTGTGAGAATGACTGATTGTGTTGTATGGTGCCTTGGGGGGTTATAGGACTCTAGACGGCACTAAATCAAATACGGGCCATTTACCTTTAATTATCTGATCATAAACTTTAACCTTTGACCTTCAGCACCTGTGACTCTGGTGCAAATCTCATTGGTTGATTTACCTGAGCTGGACTGACCTCGGGACGGATTTTCTGGGACGTTGAGTCCAAGTGTTTTAAAATGTTTCCATGGATGAATAATCTTTATCTCTGCAGACGGGCTTCCAATAAATCGGGAATGACCTCATGACCCCATGACCCCACCTAAGACTGATGAGCAGTACAGGCGTCTCTCTGTGTTAACACACACCTGTATGCTCCGGACCAGCTGATGATCAGTGTGTCTGATCAGGTTTAGGAGCTCTTCTCTCTGTTGTTTAGTAAAATGTCACGCAGATGCTTACTTTCCCTAAAGTCTGATCAGAATCTAAACATGAAGCGGTTCTGTGCAGATCTATCAGCGATCGTTGCTCTGGGCTGAACTTCGGACTTCTAGTTGTGCACAAGGGAACCGGAACGATCAGCAGCATTGCTGCACGGCACATTTCAACAGCTGTAACCACTACGTTGCACGCTCACAGACACTTTCCTGGATAACTCTCTGCACCTTATTAACAGCTGCGTTGACATTTAAAGCCTCTTTCAGCTCGGCGTGTTGACATGAGCGTTTCCACGTGAATGAGACGGAGTTCAGGCCTGAAAGCATCATTCAGCACTGATGAGGCTCATCTATGCGGGGTTAAGAGTCTCCAGCTGCTGGTCTTCCTGTCTGCGAGCGTCGGAGTGTTGGAGGAAATGAATGCCATCTGAATATGAATGAGGCGTGTTTCTCGTCCACTTGAACTCTAAAGTAATTTAGCTTCTGCGCTCTTGCTGTCTAAGGGCACGTGGTCCTCCAGAAGAAATGCTACACTGTAAAACACGGCATCAAATACGAGAGAAAATCCTGCATTTAGTCAGTCAGAAACATACAAAGCACCACACTCTTGTCTATTCATCTGAAGGGTTGTTGCTGCGTGTCAGTTTGGGCTGATCCATCAGTTGGAATCACGCAGGAATGTTGCAGGAACCTTTCCACGTGGCCAAGTCACATAAAGCGTGTGACAAACTGCACATTCTGTGCAACTTTAATGCAAATTAAATGCAATTTATTCGCAGATGTTGTAAATTATGTCTGATTTTGTTAGCGGTGTGGTTGCTTTGGAGGGAAAAGTTTCAGCAGAAAACATTCCTGAGTTTCCAGCGACATGAGAACAAGGCTCTGGAAGCTGAGCCCTTGCAAACACTTCCTGGCGTTTTGGGGAACCTCTTTGTAAATGCCATTTGGAGTTTGTCACCCAAACTCCGCTTCCCTGAATGAACAAATTACCATTCATTTCTTACTGTAAAGCTAATGTTTGGATTATTAGGATTACATCATCCTAATCGCTGAACCTGGTGTTCCAAAATGTGCTTTTTGGTGTGTGAATGTGTGTGTTTCTGAAAATGAGAAGTGCTGTCGGAGTTGAATCCAACCAGATGTGATGTCACGTCAGAACCCTTACTCTGCATGACCTATGTGTGTGTCCGCTTTACTCACACAACTTCCTAACTGAAGAACAAATGACCATAATCCCTAAAGCCCACGGATAAAAAGTCCTGCTTTCGGGAGACGGGGCGCTACGCCTCCAGCAGGACGTGCCAGCGGCAGACCTGCTGGCCGTGGCTCTCCTTCATGTCCAGCCAGTGGAGCTGTTCCTCCTCGCCGCTGCTGTTCTGGCCCAGCGCCACCCAGCCCACCATCTCTTTGCGTTTCATGCTGCGACGGTTGAAGATGGAGATCAGCAGCGTGACGTCAGACAGCTGGAAGAGAGCCACCTGGAAGACAAATGTCTCCTTGTAGACGGGGTTGGGCTGTCCACGGCGCATCGACGTCTTACAGCGAGAGATTTCCTGACCCACAGAGTTCAGCAGAGTCAGACGTCCGTACGTGTCTGGATCGGGCGTGGGGTGGAACAAAGAGAGAGGAAGAGCTTGTGTTATTGGAGGATTAAAAACACGTTCCTGTGTTTGATCACTGACATGTGAGAAGCTGCTCTTAATCCTGTAATCAAACCCTTCAAAATGAAGAAGATAAAATCATCTGAGATGGAAGAAATTAGCACTAATGAGATTATTTAGACATGTTTTTTCCAGCGCCTGGCTTTAATCTGCGACCACACAAAAACAACGCGTGTGACAGTTTAGTGACCTGTTTTATGTCTGGCTGCTAACATTTCCACCTTTTAAATCTTCGTTTTGAAAAGGTCCTCTAAAGCCGAATCTCCTGTGCAAAGGCCAGACTCTGCAGCCTGTGCGAGGAAACTGATCCTCGTGAATGTTTTGAAACGTTCGCGAAGCTTCTCTGAAGATGCCGACTCCTTTATGTCGCCAACAGCAACATCCAGGCTGTTACCTGTGACACGTCCGCAAGCTTGGATCAGCGTTCACGTCAAAGCCTCTTTCCACTTCAGGGGTGACGAGGAAAATACCAACAAAGGCTTTCTAGGGATGTCCATTCATTCTCTACATCACAGGTGGAATCACTTTCTAATGTCCCCAGTTTCACCTGTAACACCGTTTCCTGGACTGACCTGCAGACTGACCCTCACCTGTCCCCAACGCCGTTGGACATCCGAAGACATGACTGCAAGAAGACCGGGACTAAATACCCGCTGAAACGTAGTCTCCTTAACGTCTTGAGGGTTAGGGCGTAAGACTTGCTCTCGCTGCCTACCTGTGAGCGGAACGGGTTATGACATGACTCTCGAGCAGACCTGGAGGTTTGTTGATGGCCAGGTTTCTGAAGTGGCTCCCTTTGATGAGCTCCACAGACATGCGTCCTGTGGTGGCGTTGTAGGAGAGACCAACCAGCAGCTCGGGGACACCACCGTGAGTCAGGGACTGAGTGGACGAGGCGCTGTCACTCTGAGACACAGCTGATAAACTCAGCTGGGAGTCCAAACTCTGAAGGTGGAACCAGAACGGATCAGAACGGCAACAAATGCCTAAGAGTTCATCTTACGCTCCAGCTCTTACCTTAAGATTACTTCGGGGCTCCAGAACCAGCGTTACCTCCATTGTGCTCCTGTCTGTGTCAAGCCCCCCTAGGCGAAGGACCTTCTCCCCCATCATTCTCTCACGGGACATCCTCCCCCCCACGGCGTACAGCCTGAACCGGATGGCGGACAGCTGCAGGTCAGACGGCTCTAAACGGGAGAAGCGGAACGTCTCGTTGAACTGCGGCAGTGAGCCTTTCTGCACAGACGTCCTGTGGCGTTGCTTCTTGGAGGGCAGCAGGACCATGTGCACCTGCCAAGAGTCCATCCCACTGCGAGCCTTGTCAGGAATGTCACGGGCCGTGATGATGGTGACCAGCAGCCTCTCCGATTCGGGCCGGTACTCCAGAGAGAGGACCAGGTCTCCACATGTAGAGATGGGGGTTCGAGGGGAGGAGCAGACTGGCTGAGAGGCAGCGTCATCACAAGGAGATGGCGTTAGCTGAGAACAGAAGTTTTACACAGATGTTAAACCGTCAGCCGTCATGATTCCCGGAACACAATATGAGCAAACACGTTTTAAAATGTCATTTAAAAATCAACATAAAGGTGCCACACATTAGACAGATTAAAGCACAATTTTCTATTTTAGTTAAAGTGAACAAATGCCCACTTGTACTGCAGTTTTCCTTCCCAGAACACATACTGTAGAGCCGGAATGCTGTGCAAAGGCTCTAATCCGTCTGCATCAGGAATGTGGCTAAACGTTTAGAGAAGGACACATCCTTTTGTCAGATGTTTCCATGGTTACTGAAGTAGAACCGCAAACATTTCATAAGATCCAAACACTTTTAGGGAAGATTAAGTTCATGCAAAGACTCAATATCTGCAGAGGTGGTCCTTCTGTAGTTCAACTTAAAGAGCAAGTCACCCCCTACCAGAGTCTAACTCCACTCCCACTTCATGTTTGAAAAATGCAACAAATGCTGTTGCCAGGCAGACCGAGAGGGCGGAGCCGCTAACAAATACACACACACACGCACAAAAACAGCATTGTGACATCATAATGTACCAGTTTACATCATAGCATACCTCTTAGCCAATAGCGGTGGCAGATTTAAATTCAAATACAGTGCAGTTTTTACCTGACAACGGCACAACACTGCCAGTTTTAGGCAGAATATTTAAATTTTAACTAAGATGCACTGAAGTGCCAAATTATTGACGACACGTGTCTGCAGCACGATTACACACTCGTTTATTTAGCTTATCAGCAAAAAACAGTTGATTTGGGGGTGACTTGCTCTTTAAGCTGCTGTCAGTCGGCCTCTAGTCCAGGTCCTGACATTAGTGTTGGGTTTGTGTTTGTCCTCCTGCCTCTGGACGATTAGTCACAAGTTCTCAGTAGGGTTAAGGTCTGGGGAAGGAGGGAGGGTGTCCATTGTTGGTCACCAAACTGTTGTTGGATGGTTGGAGGAGTTCCTCTGGGAGGAAGTTTACGTACCATTCTTTGATCAGTGTCTGTCCAATAGTCCTGATGGACAGACACCGACTCCTGCTCTTAGCCAACCACCAGTATGTATTTTGTCTAGTTGACACCTGTACAGGAACTTGTTGCAACATTTAAACGGTAGCTATGATGAAAACAACAATGATGGAACGTTAGCTGTTGAGCACTGGTACTCAGCTGGAGGAAGTGCAGTGTGCAGATTTATGTCTCCTTTAGCATCTTTGGGAATATAAAAGGTTCCCACACAGGGAATTTCAAGTCCTTCCTTGGTGGATATAGTGATCAAGGTGGTCGTTACTTCTTCTGCCATAAAAGTGTGATTTGGTGACAGAAAGGGTGTTACATTCTCCAGCGACACAATGGAAACACAGAGGCATCATCAAGAGTCTCATCCTGACAGAGTCTTTGTTTACACACACACACCGATCATAGTTCCCGAGCTTTTGTTTGTTCACCGCCACGAGAGGAGAGTTCTGCTGTTTCAGTGAATCCTGCATGAACCTGAGCAGATTACAGACAGAAATACAATCACAGCTGACTCTGGTCACGAATCTGCCAAGTATGGATGTGGAGCATTGCAGTATTTTCTTTGTGTGTGTGTGTGTGTGTGTGTGTGTGTGTGTGTGTGTGTGTGTGTGTGTGTGTGTGTGTGTGTGTGTGTTTGTGTGTGTGTGCAAGCACGTAAGAAAATGACTGAAAATGAATAAGTAAACAACAGAATAGTCCTAATTTTTCAAGATGGTGGCCAAGAGTTAAAATTGCTCACCGGCCTCAAACATTCTGCATAAAAAAAATCATAAATTAGCTCATCTTCAGGTTCAAGTTTATTTGTAAAGCCCCTTCCTTACCCCAGTCAAGGGGCCCACGGTGGTGAAGATAACGTAAAAACAACTAAAGCACAATCAATCAATCAATCAATCAATCAATCAATCAATCAATCAATCTGCTATATAATAAAATACAGAAATAAAACAATCGAAGACACGAGTTAAAAACAGCAAAACAACAATGATGATCAAACATTAATACACGAGTATTAAAACTAAGAAACAGATCTAAGATGCACCTTCAGCCTAGCTTTAAAAGTGGGCAGCGATGTGGACCGTCTTGTTTCTAGTGGCAGTTGGTTCCAAAGCCGAGGACCCAGAACTGAAAAGACAAGATCACCTCTGGACTTTCGTTTTGACCGCGGTACCACTGGGAGGTCACTCTGACCCAAACGTAGCCATCTTGAAGGGACATAACGGGTCAGCAGCGAGGCTAAATATGGTGGGGCAGTTCCTGACAAAGCGTTAAAAACAAAGACCAAGAGAATACAACATTTCACTGGTAACCAGTCCAAAGCAACAGAGGATCGATGTAATCTTAGAAAAGCGCCTAAACTGGTAAAAACACAAACGAACTACAGAATTCACCTGACTACCAAATGTTAGAGTAGAATCTACTTTAACACCCAAATCTGTAAAACAGACTTCTCATAGAGGAGCAGCGATAAAAAGGGCTGGTGGTTATTCGGGTTCAAAGCTATTTTTTCAGTTTTGCCCTCCTTCAGAGCCAAGAAATTGGACCCCATCCATTGAGTAACATCCTGTAAACAATTCACCAGCTGCCGTATGCTACCACTGGCCTCTTGCTGTTTTGGCAAATAAAGCTGGCAGTCATCATCATAGAGATGGAAGCTAATTTTATGTTTCTTAAACAACAGTCCCAGTGGTGAGAGAGAGAGAGCAAAAACAGCAGGGGTCCCAAAACCGAGCCCTGGGGAACACCCCACCTAAGTTCAGCGTCTCTTGATGAATAAGAACCAAGGAAAACAGAGGAAGTCCTGTCCACAACGCAGAACCAGAGAGCCCCACCCAGTGTTCCAAGTGGTTCAACAATATCTGATGGTCAACGGTATCAAATGCTGCTGCTAAGTCCAACAGCAGCAGAACCCTTTACAATGTTCATTAGGTCCTCTTTTTAAATGTTAAACAAGGTTCTTTTTGTTTCGGACATGAAGGTAACTGGAAACACCTTCATGTCCGAAGCAAAAAGAACCTCGTTTAATAAGCAGCAGAGCCACTGCCTCACCAGCATTAGATGCTATAAGAATAAATCATTAAAATTTTTAAGAGGGCAGTTTCAGTGCTGTGTCCGGTCCTGAAGCCAGACTGAAATGGCTCCAAGATGTCATTTAGAGCAAGAAAGGACTGAAGCTGCAAAAACACAACGCTCTCAAGTATTTTAGCACAAAAGGGCAAATCTAAAATCGGCCTATAGCTGGAACAAATTTCAGGGTCACTCCCTGGTTTCTTTAAAAGTGGCCGCAGGACAGCATGTTTAAACTCCCCTGGTGCATCTTATTTTTACCAATTCAACTAATGAAGCTAATACAGAAAATATGATTGTTGTGGAAAAAAATAATCTGTGAGTTTCTGCAGATCTGGAACATAAAGAAGGTCTCGTATGATTAAAGCATCAGACGTCCTGGATCTGAAGGGTGGATTGTTTTAATGTTTCTGATTCTGATAAATACCACGAGTCCATTATCAGCATCACTACCAGGGTCTGGGCCAGCTCGAAAAAATTATGTTCCAACTTCTTATGGTTCTGTGTCTTCCTAGGGTTCTCATGCAATTCAGAACTGTTTTGATTGAAGTAATTTTATCTTTTGTAACCCTGCTGAAAAACCAGCATAGACCAGATTACGATGTGTTTTGGTGCTGGTTTAGCCGTATGCTGGTACAGTATACACTGACTCTATTTGCTAATAGCTCAAGCCCGGGGGAGTTCTGCCATGTGGTGGAATTGCTAATGCTAACAGTTAGCTGAATCAACAACAGCCTTCCCTGCTGTGAGCCAAAATGGGTGAGTCTATAAATGATAGTTTGACAATGTGAAGTCCGAATCCGAACGTTCCCGTCTCTTTCCTATCGGCGGCTAATGCAGGAAGTAGCAGTAGAAGGCTACCTTCATGTTTAGCCTCCATGTTAAACTCGGTGTGAGTGATCATGATAAATGACCCGCACTTGTATAGTGCCTTTCAGAGTCAGAGGACTCCAAAGCGCTTTACACTACAGCGTATTGGGCTCGACACACGGGAGGCGACAAACGACCGCGATCAGCGAAATTTGTCGCTGTCGCTTTTATTACCTGTCACACGGGAGGCGATCCGCGGCAGCGGCCAGTGGCAAAGCCGTCTACGCGTTCTGTTCCATGGCAAAATCTAAACTTCCGTTGTTTTGTTTGGCTGTGTCAGGTTGGAGGGAATTAAGGTTATTTAAGCGGTTCAGAGTTAATAAAGCGGTAGATATGATGTTTCACAAGGTGCTGCTAGAGTTATGTGAAATCTTACTTCTGATTTTACTATAAAACATAATTATAATCAACTTCTCCTCCATGTTTGCTCGGAGGTGTACGGAGCATCCTGTCCACTCATTGGTCAGTGAATGAAACCTCCGTTGATTGGTCCTCGTCCGAGCGACAGCGATGAAAAGTTGAAAATGTTTCAACTTTCTGGGATCGCGTCGCTGGGTCGCCTGTGCACGACACGTGCACGAGCGCATAATTTCACACGCACGTTTTTTGCATTTCGCTTGGTAGGAGAGAGACCCGCGATTATCGCTTTGTCGCGCATGTCTCATTGAAAATGAATAGAGGAGAGGGGATGCCGCCTCCCGTGTGTCGAGCCCATATCACTCATCCACTCACACACTGATGATGATGAACTACGATGTAGCCACAGCTGCCCTGGGGCGCACCGACAGAGGCGAAGCTACCGAGTGCAGGCGCCACCGGGACCGCCACCAGCAGGCAAGGTGGGTTAAGTGTCTTGTCCAAGGACACAACAGCAGCGTTCTCGGGCAGGAGCCGGGATCGAGCCTACAACCGTCAGATTCTGGACAACCCGCTCTACCTCCTGAGCTGCTGCAACAACAAAAAAACACGGTTTCTCAGAGAACCTGCTCTTAAACCCTACGCCCCATACCTCTGGGTCCAAAGTGGAGGAACTGTCTGGGACGTCTGTTTTGTCACAGTCCAGAGGGTTCTCCGCATCCTCGCTTCCATCTGCAGCCTGTCGGCTCATACTCAGGGTGGGACTGTCCTTAGCCACTGATGCTTCCACTCCAGCAGCTTTGTCCAAAAACAGCGTGGACGTCCTCTCGCTCTTTTCTGCCAGCACACAGAGTGGGTCCAGGAAGGACTTCTGGCCTGAAGCCTCCATTTCTGCGGGACAAAGAGAACAGAATTGGATTCTGCGTCGTTTCTCATTTAAAGTATCTGATATAAATGTTGTCTAAGATGCTAAAAGCTCTCGTGCACATCTCGTCGGATGAAAATCAGATCTACGTTTGATGTGTTTAAAAGGAATCTGACTCTGAAGGGGTGTGATCGTCTGCAGTACTTTCCAAGTCCCCCGTTCTCATTTAGGAATGTTCTGCAGACACACCGTCTCTTGGGTAAATCAATAGCAATTACCTCCAATCTTTTTGTCATTATGGTCTGTCATTCTATTGTACGAATGGTTGCATGGGGAGGTCACCATGGCAACAGGCTGAGGTGAGGCATCTCCCTGTGTGCTAGTGGGTTAGGTCGTTCATCTGTGAGTTACGTCTCTGCACCACTTCTCCACGCGGCCTGGAGGTGGAAACTGAGCGGCTGGAGACAGGACGATGCTACCCAACCAGCTGCTAGTCTCAAACAGAAGCTTCGAACGTGTCAAAGGTTCCTGTTTGTGATCAATGTGATGGAAAACAAAAATGAGGCTACGAAAAGATCCCCACAGCCTCCTCCAGCCTGTTTCTTCTTCTGCGCTTCTGGAAGCTCATAAAAGGTATTTGCTGTAGGGTAGATATAAACCATGTGTGGGAAATGTTCGCTCTCTCCCCAATAAAATGGCAGCGCTGACCAGGCTGCTGCGGGACCAACAGCCTGGTGTTTTTTTTTACTGAGACGTGGTTGAACCAGCTCATAGCACTGAGCGTTACTCTGAGGTTTTCCTGGAAGGATTTAAACTCACGTGAGCCCACAGGAGAGCGGAGCAATTTGGTAAGTGTCCCAGACATTTTGAGAAACGTAAATCGTTGCTTGACTCGTCATCCATTTGGCTGACTTCTGTTGGAAAACCCAACCGTAAACAGGGCGAGACTGTCACACAGGAAAAGGATCCCTCTACAGGAGGTTGTCCCCTGGAAGTAGCTACTGCTCATAGTCTATTTTGGGAGATCGGTAAGACTCGTCAGTTATAATTGCCGATCTCCGATCACGGAAAAATATACAAAAATTGTCCCGATCTGATTTCGGGATCAGGACATCCCTACACACAACGCCACATGGCAAGAGCCCTCTGACAGGCTTGTGGAAGAAGACGGAGACATGCCCCAATGTTTAACTAAACGTCGAAAGAGACGGAGAACGCAAGCTTGTGATTGGTCAGGATGCTGCTTCCTATTTTCCTTCGTCAGCAGCACCGTCTTTAGATATTTAGTGGCAGACATGGAACAGATTGAAGAACGCATCGTGGAAAAAGTCTGAAAATGTGAATGTTTATTCACCCGTGACTGATGGGAGTACAAAGATATGCAGCAGGCGTTTTATTCGTGGACGGAGAAGACAAGAAACGTGGGTTTAGAGGTGCTGATCGTATGACGAGGTGGAGGGGAATGGGGCACAAATTTGTTCGTGTTAATAAGTCTCTGAAATACATTAAAACAATGTAAACATAATAGTAAATACACTATCGTGGACCGGATATGTGACGGTAAAGGTGGCAGGATACCTCAGAATAGCGCTACGCCCTCTGTTGTCCTGGCGGGGAAATGTTATTCAACAATCCTCAGCTGATGGAGAAACCTGAAAGCTACACGTCTCTGTCAACGCGTGGGCATCTCGCTCTCGCGGAGCTGATGGAGAAGTGTGAATTAGGCTTTGGTGAACCTGCGCTTTAAACTGTACTGAAGTTATTTTCCTTATTTGAACAATTAAACTGATTAGAAAACGACTATGACTGCAATAGAAAAACAAATGTCAGAAACCAGTGTTGTTTAAACTCCCACAAGGTCAGTCACACTAAACTCTGTTCTCAGGATGGGAAACTGGGTCCAACCACCGTGACAACAGTGTTTTTACTCCACAGATGTCCTGTCCACAGACTGCAAGAGCATGGATCTTCTCCGTGTGTTCTGATCAAGCCCCTATGATTCAGGTCTGGATATGAAGCAAAAAAGGAAGTGACAAAAATTGCAGTTCCACCCTCATCCACTAGGGGCTGGTGTCAGAATCGAGCAAATCCTCATTGACTCCCATGTTAAAAATACCAATTTCACAGCAGAAATAAACATGTTTACAGCCTGGTACCAAAACATGTTTTTGGTTTAAATGATCTAGTTTACACTCATGACAACTCTGAGGGGGGTGAATGTTTTTCTCACTCTTCTGTTTAAGTGTATTAAAAGCCTAAAATTCTGTATAATTAATGAGCATCAGACCCACGTGACCACAGAGCTAGCTCCGTGGAAAGGCCTCAGTAGAGCCTCGGCCTGGCCTGGAAACTGTTCCGCCATTTTCAGTCTCTCAACTTAGACCATTAGTTGTAGCGTTAGTGCGTTCTTTCTGGATATTATTGGTGCAACTGGACAAAATGACTTGCTGTGGCATTAATTGCACTAATAGAGCGTCCAAGGAGTCTCCACTTCATCTTTTTCGGTAAGTAAAATTATATTTATGTATTTTAGGTCACTGCCGAGCTGAGCTTAGATTTGAACATGAACTGTTTAAACATGACATTTTAATGTAATAGGGTAAAACCCAGTGCATTTAACATAACACTGCATTTTTGAAAATGGGTTGAAATATAACATGTTGGTGGAGCTGGGTTCCCACTATCGGTATGGTCCCCTCCCCTCAGCGGCAGCTTGGCCCATCTCTGATCTCCGCGGCGCTTGTCTGCTGTGTGGCTGCCGGCTTGTGGAGCTCTCGGAGACCTCTGTGTTCCACCCGGTGTCACCCAGCGGTCAGCCCGGCGCATCTCTGACTCAGAAGCTCTGGTGTTGTGCACAGTTAACTCCGGTTGTAGCTAGGTAGCTACCTCCGTTAGCTTAGCTCCCACCTCCGCGTTAGCTTTGGGTTAGCTTGTAGCTACATCGCTTCAGTTCGACAGGTGTCATCATTTGATCCCAGCCTTACAGCCCCACCCTCAGCTCCTCCTCTTTTCCCTTTTATGGAATTGTCTGGGCTTGACGGAACCTGTGACACGGTCAAAATGGCGGTGGTGGCCACCTCCCATTTTGGCACAAAAACTTATAATTGCAGCCTATGGACACGAATTGTCCAGTACGGTATATATGTCGATGGTCCTGATGCTGGAAATGTGTCAGGAAGCTGTTTCTTCTCCACTGACCTGGAATCTGCTTACATCACCAATCAAACAGGAGTGACCTAATACTGAGATACGGCCCATGAGTCATGGCTCTCTGTGTAAATGCTGAGTCATGAGAGACGTAAATGACCTCTCTAAACTGGAGGTGAGTTGTGAACAGTTTGGATCAGGAGGATGAACTTCCATACCTTCACAGTCTGACGGTTCCGTGCTGCCCTCCTCCTGGTCAGACAAGCGAGTGAACTTGTGGCACCGACCGAGCTGTAGCTGAGCCTTGTGGGTCAACTCCAAAGTGGTGCAAGCTGCTGCAGAGCGAAAGCTCTGCGAGCGCGACACGGAAATCTCAAACTGCTTCAGGATCTCGTCATCGCTGTCGGAGGAGCTGGTGATGTACTCATCTTCTTCCCCATAACTGTTCACTGTAAGGAGGGAAAAACAGGGAAACTGAAGGACCGGCTAACACGGAGTGCTGGGGATGTTTAGGAGAGGGAATGGAAGGAAAGAAGAACAAAATGCTTTAAAGACTTCTGTTCGTTATTTAAATACTGTTGGTATGAAGTTGTTAAAGTAATTTATTTAATTTTGCTGAGTCATCATTTTTGCATTTGTGCTACACAGGTTTGTTCTGTTGGAAAAAAAGATCCCACTGAAATCCTCTGGGTGGGAATCGCTGCTGCTCAGACTGAATATAGATGATTGTGGCTGAGATGCTAAAACACACAGTGACTCACATTCACTAAAATACACAAAGGATAATTGGATAGCAACAGCTGAAGGAGTGACGTGGTGGTAGAGTGATGCTGTTTCAGAACAAACTACAAACCAAAGAGTCACAAAAAGGCACTGATAAAAAAGCCTAGTTAAAGGAGTAAAGAGGGTCGTAAATGAAGAGCCAGCTTTCAGGCCGAGCCAGCAACAAGTACCCTGCTGGTTCAACAGCTTGGCCAAAGGAGGAGATAGAAGATACAAAGACAAGAAAGCTCCTCACAAGCATGGAGGGCTTCACCCCCGGTCCTTCACCCTGAGACTGGAGGCTCGAGGAAAGAGGGAAGGATGGAGAACCACAACACATGAAGCACCTGAGATCCTGGAGTCCAGGAAGACAGGGCAGGTGAGGCACTGCCTCTTCTGTCATCCCGACAAGAAAAATACTAATACTAATAATAATAAAATCGATGTATCCACTGACTGGTCTAGACATGAATTTTCTGAGTGATTTCATAATGTCATGGTCAAAATCACTGAACTTATGTGTTTCCTAATCAGATACATGGCAGCGGCGCGAGGGCAGGCAGAGAGGAGTGCTGTCTCCACCCTCACTGAGGCCCTGTCCACACGTAGCCGGGGATCTGCCAAAACGTAGATATTTTTCTACGTTTTGGCCTGTCATCCACACGAAAACGGAGTTTTTTCACACAAAAACGGATCTTTTTAAAAACTCCGGCCAAAGTGAAGATCTGCGTTTTCTCCGTTTTGGGTGTCTGCGTGTGGACAGACAAAACCGGAGTTTTAAGGTCCGCAACGTCACTTTCCGCGACAAAAAAATGCTGACATCACGTGTGCGACCTGTGTTTACACTTGCCGACAGCATGGATGCTCCCAGAGCTGCGCTCGCTTTATCAATTGTCCAAGCGCTTTTTGCTTGTTTGTTTTTGCAAGCGGAATTACTGCTCCTTGTGGAAGACCACAGACGAAGGACGAGGTTAAGAACGGGGGAAGTACTGCCGCCTACAGGTCTGGCATGTCCTTAACAACGTATTTATACGGGTACGTGTGGACAGAGTTTTTTTATAAACGAGGTGGTGTGGATGCAAGTTTTTGGAGGGGCGGATATTCGTTTTTTTAAAAACCCGGCTACGTGTGGACTAGGCCTGAGCTGCTCCACACACACTAACGGATTAAGGCAGAGTGCATGCACCGACTCCCTGTATCGAGTGTGTGACGCGCTGCAACATCAGACTGAAACAGCCAGGTAGCACATGCTCACTGCTGTCTGTCTTCATGCCACCAACATGCATGTTTTATTCTACATGTGCTGCACACGCTGGGGTTCTACAGAGGTTTTATTGCCAAATGCGTGAGAAATCGCAACATTAGGAAATTGCTGCGGTACTTTGTGCAAAAGAAAGAAAAATAAGAGATAAGCAAGTATTGGATGTAAGAATATAATCATGGTAAAATAATTAATGTAAAGTGTCAATAGTTAGTGGCTACTATATATACAGTGTAAGTTGATCAGAGCGGATCAGTTCTGGTACAAACACCGGGTCATGTGACTCAGACCAAGCGACTGGAGTGGGCAGTTCTAGGATTGTCATTCATGAGTCCGACTGCAAAGGAGAAAAAACTGTTCTTGTGGCGAGAGGTTCTGGTCTGAATGAATCAGAGCCTCCTGCCAGATGGGAGCGAGTCAAAAAGACCATGTCCAGGGTGAGACGGGCAGGGGCGGTTCTAGACCAAATTTTCCAGGGGGGCCACAGTGGGGCCAGAATTTTTTCATGGGGGCACAAGAAAAAAAAATCATAATAAAAGACAATGAACAAGTAAACTATTACAGTGAATGCAGTAATGGTTTACTTGTGAAAGGAAAACTGGCATGTTTTTATGGTACTCAGATAACAATTCTGAATGCCTCACCGCAACACGAGACTTGAGTAAAAAAAACAATTCTAGTCAATTATTATAGTTTGTGACTTTATTTGAAGATTATATGAACTGTACATATGAAAAATAAACATTCAAACAAATAAAATATCTGCACAATACAATTTGCTTTTTGTAGTCAACACACACACACACATACACACACACACACGTAAGCAAAATCACTTTACCAATTGTTTTGATATACTCACGATTTTCTTTAACCTTTTTACTGTGTTCCTTGTCGAGTATATTAGCCAATGTTGTGTTAGCTTTCACAGCCCTCTGGTAGTCCCTCCACGCTATCATTGAATCCTTATGCCTTTCAGACTTTGCACGTACTGAAAACCCCCTCCTCTCTCAGTTGCTTTTTTCCAGTTCCTAAATCCACATGGTGAGTCAAACACACTTCCTGCGCTACTTGGCGAGCTAAAATGTCTGCACGCATGACAATAAGAGTCCATAGTAACAGAATATTCAACCCAAGGATTACTTTCATACCAGCTTGGCTGAAAGCTGCATCTTCTGTCTCCTATTAATGTCCCTGGAAATGTCCTCAAATGATGCTGAGTAGGTGGGTTATCCTTACACTTGCTGATATCTGAAAGAAAATAAATGTTAGCATGAGGATAAAAGTCATAATTAGTTAATTCAGAGTCTTATTTTATCTATTTATTAAATATAAACAACAGAAATTTTGGTCCAGAGTCAGCATGCCTCAAAGCATTTTACACACAATATGAGCTGCAATCACAGAGGGGTTGTTCAGCACCCACAAACCTGACGGTAGAGTACACGGTGCACATGACAGAAGATGTCCCTCTTTTTGCTCCTCACTCTCAGGGTGGACAGCCTCTGACCTCTCTGGTTTCCTCTCCAACCAACTCCTCCTTCTCTCTTTCATCCTGCTTCTCAGCTCCCTCGTGACTTTCATCCTCTCTCTGTCTACGCTGTTCTTTATTAACAGCGGTAAAAAAGGACAAAATGACCCTTTTTCTTTTCATGGCCGCTGATGCTTCCAGTCAGTGCAGCGAGAAAGTCATAGATAAATGAATACTGTGATCTAATCTCAACGTGTCTAAGGCTTACAATGCAGCAACTTCATTTTTATTTTACAGTTAATGTTACAAAGCAAAAATAAATCAGTATTAACTGTGGATAGACTCAGTTAGGAACTTAAAAGTAAATGACAGAAACCCGCGACTACGATCAAAACACTGATGTCAGGAAAATAAACTGTATTGCTTACCTTCGTCTCTTAGCGTCTTTTCCGTTTGGCGTCCTCAAGAATTTCTTCGAGTCCTATTTAAACTATTTTTAATCTTTTATTCAAAAATCCACCGGGTAAACAGTTCTGTCCACAGAGTGTGCTGCGCTTTAAAGGCTCCGTGTGAACGCTGCAGCGCATTAGTTCCCCTTCTCCGAGGCAGCGCGGGGAAAAAAAATTCCGATCTCTTCAGCACAGGGGCCATAACAGGGGCCAGGGCCGGTTCTACAGGGGCCCAGGCCCCTGTGGGCCCCCGTTTAATACCGCCATTGGAGACGGGTCAGCTGTTCTCTGACCTGCCGACCTCAAGGTCCTGGAGGTGTACATTTCCTGTATGGAGGGGGGTTAGCAGCCAATGACCTCAGCAGAGCGTACAACATGCTGCAGCCTCTTCTTGTCCCTGATGGACGCTCCAGTGTACCACACAGTGACTGAGCAACCACAACTATGCAGTGAAAATGCACTGGGGGAGGCAGGCGGTACCCTGCCTGACGGTTCGGGGCAGCGCTGAGCACCTAGACTCAGGTGCACGCTGCCTGCACACACAGGGCGGAGGTGTGGTGCCGACAGGTCTGTAACAGTGAATTAGTTTAAATTTGCTCTGATTAAATGGGAGATTGTGGCTGAAAGATTTATTTAAACTTGCTTTTTCAGTCAGAACAGGACATAATAGAGCAGTGGCCCTCACTCTTGGACCTGGACGCAGCAAGCTTTAGAATGAACTCTGCTCCAACCCACTTGGTTTCAATCAGCAGGTGATTAACAGGCTTCTGAAGAGCCTGACGAGCTGCCGCACGGGTTCATCCACTGGTGTGCTGGAGTGGAGAAACAAGGAAAATATGCTGCACACCGGCTCTCCAGGACCAGGAGTGAGTACCGCTTTATTAGAGGAGGATTTTTACAGCAGAGTGATGGAGATGTCAGACGCATGTGCATAAACACATAATGGTAAGATCATTCATGATTTCCAAGTGTAATAAAAGAGCTCCCTATTGTTAAATACTGTTTTGCTTTTCCTCTTAGAGTATGGCTGAATAGTATGAAACTCATTCATGTACAACTAGAAAGTCTTAAAACAGCAAAATATTTAATTCAAGGTCAAAATTAAAACATAAGTTTCCATTTCGGGATCATAAATTTGTAAATCTGACTCCAGAGCAGTCGGTGCCTCCCCAGTCATGAACCTCACCTCACATCACTGGAGGACACGCCGGGGTTTAGGGGTTGTTTTGTTGTTTTGTTAGACATAAACACAGCAAACACACTCCCTGGACAATCTGTGCATTGCGTGCAGAGAAAAGTGTGTGTGGACATGGAAATAGAGACAAAATCCTACGTGCATGCTCGACTTAAGTTGAACCACCTTAATAACTTTTGCAGTGTAGAAACTCCTAAAATTTCAAGCAGTAAGAAGGAAACAGTCAGCGGCTTTTCCAAGCAGACAGTAACAGCTAACCAGGTGATAATGCTGAGTGTGACGGAGTGTCTGCCAGCTCTTACCTCCCCCTG